TGTGTGTGTGTGTGTGTGTGTGTGTGTGATTTTTTATGAATACTTATTAACAATGGTTCGTATACAAGCCTGAAGCAAAGAATGAGAAATTGAGATCACATTTTTTAGCTCGCCCCTCGTCGGGAAGATCGTCCCCATGCAGCCACCTAATTTGACCTTGAAAGAAATGGACTTTTTTCACGACCATAAGACACGGCATCCCTCGATTATCAACGTTGGCCAGACAAAGTGAGACAGGAGCTGCGCAAGGGTGGCCATGCATCCATGAAAGGATTGGGCAGAGCGCTGTTGGCAAAGGATCGAGAGGCGGCCACGATGCTTGTCCTGAATTCGCATGGAAAGCGAGTGGAGGTTTTTGCCAATCGACCAAGGGACCAGCTCGGCGGTATGAGACATTTCAGTTGCGCAGAGAACACGATGCGGATGGATTAATTAACTATCAACTAAACATAATAATAATACATTAATAAACATAAACATGCGATCTTCATAGATTTAAGGAAGATATCAAATCTTTGATTTTGCTAATAATTGAGGGAACAAGAATAAGGGTTTGTCCCCCAAACAACACACAAGGAAAATAACTATGTCTCCGGTGATCAAGGTATTTCGTAACTTCACGTTTCACCTCTTATAAATGTTTCTTTGTAGAAAAAAACAGCTGGGAAACAAAAAATTCCACTAGAATACATCTTGGATGCTGAAATAAGAAAGTGTTGCCACCGCAAGCGCATCTTTGGAATCACAAAGAAGTTATGGGAGCTTAACATACTCACGGCTACAAGACTCAATTTCTCAAGTAACTTTCCTGACACGGGCAAGAGCTATGCCTTCAACACCAATGTTGGCCTTGATCTCAAGACATTGCCTCCTCAAATGATAACCATTGTCAAGCAGCAATCGATGCATTCGGTAACGCAACAGGGCCAAGTTAACCAAATATCTCCTATCATCAAGGTATTAATAATTTCTAGATGGTTTTTCTTATAATTTTTTCTTTGTTGTTTCTCGTTCAGAAAAAGAGAGCAGGGAAGAAAAAAATCCCGATAGAGTACATCTCCAATGCTGAGACAAGAAAGAGCTGCTTCCGAAAGCGCATCTATGGAATCATGAAGAAAATATGGGAGCTACACATACTCACGGGTACAATACTTGATTTCTCGTGTTACTTCCCGGACATGGTAAAGAGTTACACCCTCAACACAAACACTGGCCTTGATCCGAAGACTTTGCCACCTCAAATGAAAACCATTGTCATACACACGTTAAAGCAGCAGGGCGATAACCAAAATTTGGCTGATGATCATAACGTGGAGGGTTTACAGCCGGAGGAGCTAAGATTCAACAAGGATTCTCCACCACCTCTAGTATCCTCACCTTCGATGAGCTCCATTGATGGGGAGCAACATAACTCTGGAAGCCTGGATGGGTGCGAGAAAACGTTTTCACTGGATGATGCCTTTCTGGAGGAGATCTTTTCAAGCCCAGAAAGCACTATTGACAATACAGAGTCTGGTCAGTCTTGGATGGAGCTCGTTGATTTTGACGAGTGTCCACCACCGCCAACCTATATTCCCCAGCAGGAATATGAATCTGGCATGGATGGCGGCGAGCAAACACTTTCAGTGGACAATATGCTTTTGGAGGAGCTCTTATTGATCCCAGATAGCACCATTGGGAACATGGAATTTATTCAGTCTTGGATGGAGCAACAGCCACCTGTGGAGTTTGATATTAACGACATGTACCTGGAAGTTCCTTGAGGACATTACAACACAATTTTGCGAATTGCAACATAGGCAGAGTGTAATTTATTTAGAGAGGGAAATTCCCCTTATGTAACTTAGGAGCGTAATAGATATTTTTAAGGACTGATGAAGCTCGCTGTGATTGCCTTCGACGTTCTTGGTCACGGGTTTGAAAGACAGCAACCGCCGTTATGATTGCAAAGAAAGGACATAAGGAACGTTTAAAGAACCACATCTCGATATTTTAGTACAGTATTAAAGGCCTGTTGCAAATGCCGATGCTGTGCTGTTGGAGTGAGAATCAGGTGGAAAAAATAATATGAAGATTTTCATTGTCTAAAATAATGTAATCATCAGTCATTGAAGTATAGTGGTAAGTATTTATGCCTGTCACGCAGACGACGTGGCAATGGTTTACTCTTTTATGTAGAGGACTGCCCTTTGGTAAAGTTGAGCTCTATTTTAACTAAGGTGATCTTGGTGGTGGGAACTAATTCAACTGCAGCGACGTAAGTTGTATGAATTTTTCTGTATTCTACTACTTTATGTGGGTACTAATTAAAAATCTGCCATATTAGACAGCTGTTACATCTGATCCGTCCATTCATGGTCTCTATGACAAAAGTGCTTGGTGTCGCAAAAACACTGAAGATCGTGGAATGACCCAGGAGCGCCAGATACCACCCGATCCATGCGCATCTGACTCCAGATCAGAAGGCTATTCGAGTAGCAGACTTCCTGAACGAGTGTCCTCTGAGTTAGATGTGTTCTTGGCTGCATAAATTTTTCCAAAGCTGAGAAATGAATCCACCAAAAAATAAAGCTGAGAACTTACCTTCGCTTGAAGCTAACAGAGCCCAAAACGCCATCCCCCAAGCTCGCAGCCACTCTAACTCTAGTGCATACAAGACCAAATGCATCTTCTTTCACCGGGGTCAATGTGAAATGACATGTTCTTGCTGGGACTACTTTAAAAGAAAATAAAATCAACGTAACTCTAATGTTAACTATGCGATGGATGTTTCCAACGTGCTTGTCCTCTCTACTCTTTTCCTGACGCCACTTATATTGGTCTAGTCGTCAAGATGGGTGCAACTCGCAAGGGTCAGCACGCATTTCAGGTTGGAATCGTCCACAATCTCCTCTGGCAGTGAGCAGCATAGACCCAACTCGGCAGGGAATGACGTTGTCATTGGAGTTTAAAGATTCTTCCCGTTGATCGCAATGCTTCATTGGTCGAGCTCATCTCCTAGAAGAATCCACCCCATCTGTGGTAATCGCCACAATTATCTTATTCAAGTCATGTTGACAAAGTTGATGATTCTCAATTTTAGCTGTATGCTGAAAATACTTCTAGTCACTAAACAAATTGTTTACATTATTATTATATTATTATTAAGATCATGTAAAAAGACAATCGATACACTAGATTTTATTAGATAGTTTGCAAAATTTATCCAAGGCATGGACAGAATTAGCTATTGCCTTTGTATAAATGTCAAGGAAATTCTCAACAGAAAACATCAGTCAATTAATCTTTTCTAATGGCAATTTCAGTGATGTCTTGCTTGATTCTCTGCTCCTTGTTAGCTCAAGCTACTGTTGGTTTGCTTGTACAATATGGCTCTGTCACGGTTGGGAATGGCAACTTCATCCCCTTGAGCAGCACTGACTCTGCCCCCACTGTTGACATTGAAGGATTCGGGAAGAATGGCACTACTCGTCTCTTCTCGGTTGTCATGGCAGATCAAAAGGCACTGTCAGTGCCAACTAAAGTATCAACTTTTGGATTGCAAACATTCCAGCAGGCAGCACCGGTGAGTGATATACTTCAAATCTTTATATGATCATGGTGGCTTGGCAGGAGCTGTGAAGGGCAGCATTTTGGAGCCTTATGTATCTCCTTCCAACACTAGCAAGAACATTCCATACCCAAATCCATTCAATGCAAGGAACCACACGTATGATTTTGTGCTTGTTCCACAAAGGAATCCCTTGGTGAAGCCCATGGATAGCCGGCTTGTCAACTCGCTGGCTGATATCATCGGACAATACCACTGTGGAAGCCCTCTCCAGACCGTCTCCTTCACCACCTCTGTCCATTGATGTTAATCCACTAAAAAGTATTTGCCAATAAATTGAAAAATATTTGTTATCAGGATGAAGATAACCAAGATGCGCAACAATCTGAGCTCCTTGGATGATCTTCCCGACGAGGTGCTCTTCGGGATCCTGTTCCCGTCGCGCCACTTGTACCACTTGTATTGGGGTGTAGCGCGTCGTCACAAATTTCAGCCTGGAATCACACAATCACTGGTGAGGATGAGCGGCAGCAGGGCCTTCTTTCCTGGTTTGGCCGGTGCGGAAGCTGCACAAGCTCCGGTGGATGCTCGTCAATGATGCTCTCGCCGTCTACGTGCAACGTGGAGTGGATCAAGCTTCATGCGGAGGTGCGGAGCATCCAGGGCCTGTAAATGTCTAGGCTCAACAAGCTCACAAGCACCTTTCGAGGCTCGCCCAGCGAGAGGTCGCATCAGTGGCGTCGCAGCTCTGGATTCGGCCAAAGATCTCTCAACCTTGCCGCCGCCTTGAGGTGCTCGTATCTCCATGAAGGTTCATGGCTAACTTTTGGTGTCGTAGAGCTTGAGCCTCGAGGACTGGAGCAGCAGGCACGCACCTCTGCGCATGCACATCACCGCCTCCTACCCCAAGGGACCGGGTGCCGAGCGGGTGAGAGACGAGATCGACTTTCTGCGGGAGCTCGTCATGAGCAGCTGCTGTGTGACGCAGCTCAAAGGAACGGGGGCTGTGTTGATTGGCCTGCCACCTGATTTTCAGTCCTCATGCCCACCTCATATGAGATTGAAAATCTTGAGAAATCTAGTTTCAATCTTAAGAGGAAGAGAGTTGCGATCGTGAAGCTGGGGACAGCCTGGGGGTGTTGAGGTGCATCCCCACCACTTTGGCCTGCCGCAGCACTGCGACGTTGTGTGGCGAGCCAAAGCTTGATTCGGAGTCGACTGCAATCCACCGTGCACGAAACCATGATCGAAAACCAGTCAATGTTGGTAAAACTTTATCAGTCAATGGTTGTCAACACTTCTAGTCAACAAGAGAAAGAGTCAACTACCAGCATGATAAACAATTTGTATAGCTTTCGCGGGGTCGCAATGAATGCGCCTCAAAGATAGGTCAAAGAACTTCCACTATAACAGTGCTTGTAAGAATTGGCCAATGCTTCAACTTCTTTCAAACGTCTTGGCAGCTTTTATTCTTCTTTTTGACCAATTACTGTTATATAGATTTCATTCACATTGTTAAGCATCTCTCCAGGTGATGGACATCTGACCGTAGAGGGGGTCGCTGGAGCTAATGCCCAGCGCTTTCCACACAGCATCAGAGCCATCCACAATGTTATTCCGGCATGGTGGCTGCCAAGCATGAGGCTTGTCACAGCCCATTGTAGAATCACACTCGTCCACCACTTTGGCAGTGGTGGATCTCCCATTTGGAGCTGTGATACTGATGAACTTCAAGCACCGGGAGCCCCCGCTATACCATCCGGTTGAGAGAGCCACGACCCTCTCGGTGTTGGAGTGGAATTTCCCATCGCACTCCGAAGGATCTCCGCCATCGCCACCAGCTTGGAAGTCGTTGACAGTGAGAATTGCTTTGGTGCTCTGCGAGACTGGGGGCGAGCATCGATAGATCGGATAGTTTGTGTTGGCCTTGCAGCACTCGCCGCACTGGTGGGCCGAATTGCCCTTGAGAGTTCCACTCTGCTGGCAAGTTCCTGAGCCACCGCCACCGCCGCCGCCACTTCCAGCGCAGATGTGAGTTCCCAAATCCGGATCGTCTTGACAAGTGCGCCCCCCTCCACAGTAGAGCTGACCATCGCAATCGTCGTTTGTGGAGCACGATTGCCCGCATCCCCTGGACTCGACGAGAAGATCACGAGAACATATCGAGAGGACGATCAAAACACGCACAATTGAGCCAATTCTTAAAGCCATTTGAATGCTTTGTGAATGAATGGATGTCTTGCTGTGATTATATATACTAAAGTTTGGTTTCTCTAACTTTGGGGAATCTTCGTGAGCAGCATCCCAGTCATTAAGGCACCGGTTTGACCAGGTCAATGGTAGTTGACTGGAGTGTTTCTCGGATTTCTACATTGGTTTTTTTTTCTTGAGAAAATAAAAGAGTTCTCGGCAAGAAAATAAGGATGCATTTGTCAAAAACTTAGGAGAAGAACCAAGCGATGCTCGTACAAAGCCATGGAGGATACTGTCTATCGCTTCTTGGAGACTCCCACGGTTCTTCCACGGCGTCCGGTGGTCTTGGTGTGCTGCCCGCGGACGCGCAGACCCCAGTAGTGACGAAGACCACGGTGGTTCCTGTCAAACAATAAAGAAGTCAATCCATCCATCCCCAAGAGATTGAAAGGGAAAAACGGCTTGCCTGATCTTCTTGAGCCTCTCGAGGTCGTCCCTGAGCTTCATGTCCAGCGCGTTTGCCACAACCTGCGAGTACCTCCCGTCCTTGTAGTCCTTCTTCCTGTTGAGGAACCAGTCGGGGATCTTGAACTGGCGGGGGTTGGCAACGATCACCATGAGGTTCTCGAGCTCCGCAGCAGTGAGCTCACCAGCCCTGTTCGATGGAAGAGAAAGAAACAAAGAAAAATGATAAGCACAGATTTTTTTTTTCAAATCAATGAAGAAGCTCAATCAATCAATCCGAAAGATCAAGGAAGATAGTCATCCATAGAAGAAAATGACGAGAAAACAAGATCTTTCAGCTCACCAGCAGAGCAAGAGGAAAAGAAAGGGCAAACATACCTCTTGTTCATGTCCACATCCGCCTTCTTGCAGACGATGTTGGCGAATCGGCGCCCAATTCCCTTGATGGAAGTCAGCGCGAACATAATCTTCTGCCGCCCGTCCACATTCGTGTTGAGCACACGAAGAATGTGCTGGAACTCCTCATTGCTCACCAGAGACTGCCAAAACAGAGGCGCCGGAGGATTATTTCAACACCCAACACAAGAATCATACCATCTTGCCGCCGAGCGCCTCAGCTCCCGACCCGAGATCCCTTGCTCTTACTGGCGGCTGAAGAACCCTAATTCCAAAAACCCTAACACTTTGTTTAAGAATTAGGGCAAAACTTTCTCTTATTAATATATGTTAGTAGAGGTGTTCTCTAGCTACCAAACTGTGCTAAGTTGATATCTTGTAGAGATATAGTTCCAGATCTATCCACATCAAGCTCTTGGAATTGTCTCACAATCGCCTCTAAGTCCTCTTTCTCGAGCTTGCCCATCTCTTTGAGCTTATACACCATATACTCGGTGAGGCTGCAAAACAAAGAACACCAAGATCAAACGAGTCGTTCTTACTAGCAAACGCTGGAAAGCTTCGAAATAAGACAGCCCACCTGAGAGCTCCGTCGTCGTCCAGATCCGCCGCCTCGAAATCCGAGTAAGTGATCTTCCTGGAGAGAATCCACTTGGTGAGCGAATGCTGCCTTCCCTCCGTGACAAGCTCCGCGATGTAGAGGACGAACTGCGCAACACTAACCGTGCTCATCAAGATCCACACCACCGCAAAGATCCTCCCGCCGGCGCTAGTGAAGCTGCGATCGCCATAGCCCAGCGTCGTCACCGTCACGGTCACGCAGTAGAACGCATCCAGGAAGCTCATCCCCTCCAGCTTCACCAACACCGAGATCCCGGCTCCAAACAGCACCAAAACCAGCCCCGCCGCCACCGCCACCTTGCAGTGAACTCTCCGGATCCTCGCATCGGTGTCGGTGTTCTTGTGATGGAGGTACTTCTCTCTTTTCTCGATCGCTCTCTCCAGCAGCCTCTCCTGCTTCTCCACCAGATAGTTTGCAGCGTTGCCGAGCAGCAATCCAAAGATCGCGAAGCCCACGAAGACGAACAGGCACGTCATGAGCTTGGCCGTCGCTGTGGCTGGAACCAAGTCGCCATAGCCGACGGTGGTCATGGTGACCACGCAGAAGTACAAGGCGTCGACGAAGCTCAGGGTCTTGGTTCCATGGAGCTCGTCCCTGACGTGGACGAAGCAGAGGATTCCAATGGCGAGGTAGAGCGCGAGAATGAGAGCCGCGGTCTTGCCTGGAGAGTAGGATTTGGTGGTCATTCCAAACGCGGGCGTTGGGGAGATGTTCTTGGGCCTCATCTTCATCGCTCCACAGTCGGAGGAGGGAGCGCTCCTGGATCTTCGGAGCTTACCACAATTTGAGATGGTGGGCATCGCCGATTCCTCATCGTGGTCCTGCAGGAGTGGCTCCTGGAGAAGGATCTCGAGCTTGGATGGCCTCCTCTTGGGCTTGCTGTGCATTCTGTGTGAATTCACAACCCAAACCTATTTTCCGATCAAATGGATCATGTTCATTTGACTTTGCGGCTGTGATTCTAATGTACTTCAAGCACCGTGACCCTCCGTTGTTGAAAAAGCCAGTCGTGTGAGAAGCATTCACCATCTCATCCACTTTTTCATCTAGAGTGAGCCTCGACCCAAAGTCTTGGATGCAAACATTAATGCTAAGCTTGGTGTCATAGAATGGAAACAAGCCAAGGCTAACATTGCCAAAAACATTGCAAACATACCTCTTGAAACTCTCACATTTGAAAGAATCACCTCGTAAAATAGGTTTGGATGGAGACTTGAATTCACAAATGAAAAGCAAGCCCCAGAGGAGGATTGAGGCCCTTCTCTAGAAGCCTTTCAAGAGACATTCTTGCCAAACCACAACAACGCTCAATATTGTAAGCTCCAAAGATCTAGAACTCCATCCTCCTATTGTGGATTATTAAAGTTGAGGCACTCTCTCCAAAAAAGACTATGTGCTCGACTGTGGGTGCTCAACTGGTTTTCGATAGAATGCTGTATCATGACATGGTTCTGTTTCTGTGGAATACAGAATAAAAATTATTTTATAACTTTTCGAATTTTACTAATATATTAAGTGGAGAATTTCTTCAATCTTTAAACTAACAATACAACTATAATATTGCACTATATTAAAGACTTAATAAGAGGCTGAAAAGATTTTTATATTTTACATATAAAATACCCAAGCTAATCAAATTGAAAAAAAGGATTATAGTAATTTAGTTTAAAATAATTCAACAACTTTAATAATTTTAGAAATTTAACTATGTGAGTGTATAAAATATGGAAAGGGAATACAAAAAAAATGCATATCAATTAGCCCAAAAACTCTAATTTATATACAAAAGTGAGTGGTCTAGATTAAAACTAATATGATGCCTACTAAAATCCCACTACGCTAATATTAGTATATGGCATTGTAGTCATACACTTGGACCTCATATTATCCCCTCCTCTCGAAATAATAGAAGACTATAAAAGTTTTCTCATAGATGGGCCAGGATCTAGAGGAACATCAAAAGGAAGCATTAGTAAATTTATAGGTGGTATCAGTTGTTCTTGATCCTTTCGTATGAAATGTTTTAATTGTTGCATATGCATAATTTTTGAAGGATTAGCATGCTAAACATCATGCCAAACCTCATAAACTTGTGGTTCACCTTGCCACAACACCTAATATGGTCCTTTCCACTGAGTAAGGAGCCCCTTCGATAAACCACGTTTCGTAAGATAGGGAAAATGGCCTAACATTAATTCATCCATTTTGTACTTCATAAGTGGATGATGATAGAAGTTGTAATGCCATTGTTGTCCCACTTGTACGCAACTTAGGTGTTCAATAAACTTTGCTTAGACAAATAGAAAAATGCTTGCCAAATACTAATCCCACAATTTAGTATTGGTAGCTTGTGGTAATTACAAAAGTAAACCTAGCTCCATTGGTAATATTGGATCATGACTATATAGGAGTTTATATGGTGAAGTGTAAATTCCTGAGTTTGAACTTCCCAGGAGGTCATCTAGCCCAGTACTATTCAAACCCAAGGACGCTTAACCCCAACTATCCCAAGACCCTTAACCAATTGGAAAAGGGGGTGCACTCTTATTCATGGGCGTTTTTTCTCTATATTTGAACCCCATGGATCGCCTCTCGAGTCGTTCCCTTTGGTTTCTTACAATCCACCACACTTCCCTGCAAGTTCACGCCCTCGTAAACGGAAGCTGAGAGCCACAGCTCTCTTGACACCTTACCCCTCGGGTCGAGCCCAGCGGGAGCAAACTGGACCAGCCAGATGTTAATCAACATGTGGTGTGATTCCCTTCACCAACCAACAGAGTCGGACCCGAGACCCCTCTGATACCAAATGTAAGCTCCTGAATTTGGACTTCTCGGGAGGTCACCCAACCTAGTATTATTCAAACCCAAGGACATTTAACCCCAAAATATCCCAAGACCCTTAACTGATTGGAAAAGGGGGTGCACTTTTATTCATGGGCCCTTTCCCTCTATATTTGAACCCCATGGATCGCCTCTCGAGTCATTCCCTTTAGTTGTTTACATGAAGCACCAACAAAACTCTACACCCCTATGACATATGTATACCAAAGAAATGGCAAATAACCATTCCAATCCAAATGCTGAAAGTTCACGTACTTCGCAATTATCCCTTTGAATACCCAAAGGAGCCATTTCACAAAATTGTATGACTGTGTATGATAAACACTTATGAAAATGTGGCATATCCTCAAGTGAGACATCAAAACATGAAATGCTTCTACTATAAATGTGGGACCATTATCCAAAAGAATTCATTTCGCACAAAAATGTTAAAATACTGCTCAATTAAAGAGGAAGTATCTAATAGAAATTGCAAAGGTGCTAACAAGAGCACCAACTTCCACCCAATGAGTTAAGTAGTTAGAAGCAATAATAATATATTCATTACCAGTAATTGATTGTGAAATTTTTTTTGTAAAATCAAATACCACAAACTCAAACAAATGAGAAATTGCAATTGACTCCAACCATCCTTCTAAAGCATATGCCTAGAATAGAAGAAGCATGGTAAGCATCAAGAAACCATGGAATAAAGATTGAAGGCACCATACCCATAAATGATCATTAGAATCCATCCCCACAAAATGAAAAAGGCTATTTTCAAGATGATATTGAGAATGTAAATATCGGAATGGCAAGTTATCAGCAAGTGATATAAAATTCTCAAACCCATCTTGAAGCCTTCGAATTTATAATCTTTTGAGCTTTGCAAACCTCATCAAGAGAAGGTAGATCTTGCTTTGTACCTTATGGACACTGAATGTCAAGTATAACAATTGCTGATGGCATAGAATCCTCGTCTAGAAAATCCACAAATGCTGGAATAATAGACTTGTCAAAAACATGAGAAGAGAACAAAAAAGGAAGAGGAGCTCGAGAAAAAGCATCAGCCATAAAACTCCCTAAGTGATTGAACAACATTAAAATTATATATCTGAAGTTTCAAAGCCCATAGAATAGTACGATCAATTAAGTTCTTCCGCTTCAATAATGAAATAACGGCAACATAATCACATTTTAGTAACGTCCGAGAACCATGTAGATATGCATGAAGTTTTTTTAAACCCCAGACTGTTGCTTGTAAGTTCCTAAATTTGGACTTCCCGGGAGGTCACCTAACCTAGTACTATTCAAACCCAAGGACATTTAACCCCAAAATATCCCAAGACCCTTAACCGATTGGAAAAGGGGGTGCACTTTTATTCATGGGTCCTTTCCCTTTATATTTGAACCCCATGGATCATCTCTCAAGTTGTTCCCTTTGGTTGCTTACACTGCTAAACACTCCTTCTTTGTTTTGAGGTAGTTCACTTTTGTCGGTTATAATGTATGGTTGATATATACAATGGGATGGCATTGATCACATACACTCGGGCTCTCTTGCATCAACATACATCCAAAACCAATATAAAAAACATCCACATGTAAAATAAAAGGTCAAGTATAGTCAGGATACACCAAAATTGGAAGAGTCGTCAATAGCTCTTTGATATCCATGACTGCCCGCTCATAGTCCACAATCCAAATGAAAAATAATATTGATGATTTCAACAACACTCGCAATGGTATGATGTGATTAAAAAGATGATCCACAAAACAGTCAAGATATTGCACCTTGCCTAGAAAGTGTTGTACATCATTCACACACTTCAGAGTAAGGAACTT